GGAAACCAACCAGGAGAGAGACCAGGAGGATCACAAGCACGACAGCCACGGGCACCACCCAGGGCCTGAGGCCTCCTTTCTCCACCTTCTTGGTGTTGTTGACCGGCAGGAACTCCAGGCCTTCCTCGAAGGCATGCATGCTCTGCACAGAGGAAGACACAGCCGCTCAGACACTCTCCCACCTGCCCCGCCTTGCAAACCCAGTCACTGCAGCTCTCCACGTGCACGAATCCGCTCCCACACTCGGGGAGGCCCAGGAGTGGGCCCAGCCCAGGCCATGACTGGCCACCAGGTGCCTCGGTGCAAGCTTCTAAAGGCAGCCCCTCCTCCAGCCCCCACGGCCCCAGGCCCCACCGATCCCCTGCCCTTGTGGGCAGCACATCCTAGTACACGGTACACCCTACCCAGTGGCCTTGCTTTGCCAATGTTTAACCAGGTGGCCGTGCCACCGTGGAACAAGCCACCTTGCTTTCAAGGTTAGGTGTCGGAGGGCAGGATTTCAAGGTGAGGTGAGGAGGTCATGACTCTACTGGAATCCATACTCATGCTCAAACCCAAGAACCGGAAAAACAACAAAATGTCCCACAATCTGGCTGGTGTGGCTCGGTGGTTGACCTATGAACCAGGAGGTCACGGTTCAATTCCCAGTCAGGGCACATGCCCAGGTTGCAGGCTCCATCCCCAGCGTGGGGTGTGCAGGAGGCAGCCGATCAATGATTCTCCCTCATCATTGATGTTTCTATCTCTGTCCCTTCCTCTGAAATCAATTAATAGAAGTATATTAAACAAACAAAAAAACACACCACCTTCCCACAAACAGGATGGCGGCTTCCTGGGGGTCCTCTCTGTAAAGGGACATCAGGAAGTGGGGGGGGGGAGCATGTGTGGATGGGGCAGGTGCGGGGCCAGCATGCCACGACAAGTGAACTTTTCTAACACGCGATCTTCCAGCCTTCGATCCTGCACAGGCGCCGTGTGTCATGAAATTGAACAGTTCACAGGCTTAACTACCTCATATCCACGGCAAAAGGAATTGTAATAAAATCGAGAGTCCAGCCCGAGCTGGTTTGGCTCAGTGGATAGAGCGTCGGCCTGCAAACTGAAAGGTCCCAGGTTCAATTTCGGTCAAGGGCACATGCCCGGGTTGTGGGCTCGATCCCCAGTGGGGGACTTGCAGGAGGCAGCCGATCCATGATTCTTTCTCTCATCATGAATATTTCTATCTCTTCCTCCCTCTTCCTTCCTCTCTGAAATAAATAAAAATAAATATATTTAAAAAATAAAATAAAAGCGAGAGCCCATACCCCAAATTCCACAGACACGCCATTTTTAACCCTGTCTGGATGTGGCTCTTCTGGGGTTAACCCAGAACTCTAAATAACGTGCCTGAACGGACATTTCTTGGTTTGTCACATTTAAACCTTCTCTATGAAAGATTCTCCCCGCTCCTGTCATATTTGGATGCTTTTATCTCTAAGTTTTTAGTTTCCTAACTGGTTGTATCTGCGACTTTGTGTAAACACACACTCCACAACTGACCTGACCATGGTGATCATCTCACAGTACATAAATGTATCAAATCAACACGCTGTACACCTTAAACTTACGCATTATTGTATGTCAATTATACCTCAATAAAAATACATTTTTAGAAAAGATAAGAAACACACCCCAGAGGCAAACTGCTTGCTCTGGAATTTGTCCCCGTATTTCTACATTATAGGCCACTTCTACGATCTCTTGATTCATCTATTTAAAATATAATCAAGTTTCTTTATGATCATGTGGATTTCAATGTTTCAACCTCCCCATAGTGACAGGGCTAAAGTTTTTTAAAAAAATACATCCATACTCTGTGTTTTCATTATTAGTCTCTGAAAATATTATTCACTATTGTTTCCTTCCCAGTATAGCTATATTTGGTTTTTCCTGCTGCAAATATTCTTTCACTTGGGTTTCTTTTTTTTTCTTTTTTTTAATATATTTTATTGATTTTTTACAGAGAGGAAGGGAGAGAGACAGAGAGTCAGAAACATCGATCAGCTGCCTCCTGCACATACCCAACCGGGGATGTGCCCGCAACCCAGGCACATGCCCTTGACCGGAATCGAACCTGGGACCTTTCAGTACGCAGGCCAAGGCTCTAGCCACTGAGCCAAACCGGTTTCGGCGGGTTTCTTCTTTTTTTTTGTATAGGGCGTAATGTCACAGGAAGGCCATAGTATTCTGCCACCGTGAGGATGCAGAATACTATGGCCTTCCTGTGACATCCCCCGTTGCTGTTGGATGTGTTGTACACAGAAAAGCCATTCTTCAGGGGCTCTGCTCTCTCCACACCCAATTGGGGTTTCTTTTTAACACACACCCAAGTCTTTGCATACAATCGAAGAGCTCTGTAATACTCTTCTAATCTCCCACACATAAAGTCTGTCAAATAACCTCTCATTTCATTTTCCTCCTGGGGCCTCCTTCCTACAGCCCTGTGTCCTTTCTCATAGCTATTGTCTGGAACCTCCTTCACCATCCTGGGAATTCCCTTCATCTCCCTCTTGTGTGAAAACTCCTGTTTCCTGGATTCTATGTCCACATCTCTCTTGGATCACTTCATTTTGGTGGAGCACATACTTCAGTAGCTTCCGGAGAAATGTGAGACTTTGGATATCCCTGGAAGTACCTTAATTCTGCAGTCACATGGGTTGATAGTTTAGCTGGGTATAGAACTACAGGTGTCAAATAACTTTCATTTAGAATTTTGAAGGCTCCATCGTTTTTTAGCTTTTAATTTGGCTTTTGAGACAGATGATAATAGTATATACATCCATTATTTTTTAGTCATGATTTTTCATCTTTCTCTGAAAGCCTAGAGGATGTGCTTTGAATTGTTTTTTGTTTTGTTTTGTTTTGATTTTGTGAGCTGAGATCTCCACCTGCCCTTTGAATTGGAGAACTCTTCTCTTTCCGCCTGGAAAACTTTCTTGTATTATTATTTCTTAGATTATATCCTCCCCTTCATATCCTCTGCTCTACCTCTCTGCAATTGTTTATTGTCTGTACTGATCTCCTACTTATTCTTTCTCTGCAATTATCCATCATGTTTCTTCATCCTTCTATTGAGTTTTTCATTTCTGCTTTAAAACTTTAATTTCCAACAGTCCTTTCTTGTTCTCTGAATTTTGGGTGGACAGTCTTCTCATCTTTGTATTTCTATTCAGTGCCTTTTCTCTTTCATGTTGAAGGCTTTCCCCAAGGCCCAAGGATGCTTAGTTGTTCATGAATATTTAGGAGTGAGGTCCGAAAGGCTGTTTAGAAGCTTTGTGTGAATGGCTTGGCACAAGTGGCTTTTTTACTGGACATTCCCAACAGGTAAGCTATTGCATATCGTTTCTCTGGGGTGCTTTAATTGCTCCAGAGAATTTTTTTTTTTAAATGTCTTGAATGGAGCAATTTAAACCAAGCCACTAACATTCCAGAACATGTGAGAGAAATCAATTTCTCATCTCTGATGGGGGACTGGTGGGAGGGGGTGTTTTTGCTTGGGACAGAAGTGGGGATCTGAGGATTTCTAACAATGTCCTTCCCTTCTCACCTCTGTCTCCTGTGACACCAGAGCCCAATTCCAGAGCCTGGGGCTATTCTCAAAGAAATACAGCTCAATCCCCAGTAGGGGGTGTGTAGGAGGCAGTGGACCAATGATTCTCTCATCATTGATGTTTCTATATCTTGCTCCCTCTCCCTTCCTCTCTGAAACCAACAAAAATATTTTAAAATATATAAAACATTGCTGAGAGAAATTTTAAACGACCAAAATAAATCAAGCAACATCTCATGTTCACGGATTGCAAGAGTCAATATAGTCAAGATGTCTATTCTCTAGTTTGTCTAGAGATCCAATGTAATCTTGATCAAATTTCAGCCGGCTTTTTGATGCGCTCTCTGCTCTGAAGTTCATATGGAAACGCAGCAGCCCATGAAAAGAAGAACAAAACTGGAGGACTAAAATCACCTGATCAAGACTCACTATAAAGACAATGCATGTTTTTCTTTAAATTTCAAAAATCATCTATCTCATTTCCAAGAATGATGCTTTATTCTTTGATGGTTACTTCATTGGGCAGTCTTTTCTTATTTTATAAATGCACTACCTTCTGGCTCTTTCTGAGTTTACCAACTATCTCTCTCTCTCTCTCTCTAGATATATATACCATAATTCTCTTCAGAACTTTGTCTTTCTCTTTCAGGCTGTGGGTTTTCTTTCAATGGCCAATGGTCCTTCGTTGTCTAATCATATTTAAAGATTTAAAAAAAAATAAGGCTTTAGAGCTAGACTCTCTAAACACTGTATATATATATATGTATGTGTTAGAAGAAATGTAAGAAAATAATTATTGTTTTTATTTTCAATTTACAGAGTAATTTCACAACTATTTTCTTACTTGAGCCTCGCAACAATCCTGGAATCGCTCATGAGCGGTGCCACCACCCTGTCCTACAGACAAGGCCGGGAGAAATGAGGACTTTGCAGGATCACGCAGCCAGGCGGTCCTGGTCTCTGCCTCCCAGAGTGGTCAGCTTCCAGAACTCAGGAAGCAAGTATTCAGCGAAGAGGGACAGCAAGCCCCATGGACAGGGCACCCCAGGGCACCCCAGGCCTGGCCTGGGAGCAGCCATGGGACAGGCTCAATAGCAGAGCCTTGATGGTCCCTGCAGCGTGACCGCTGGGCTCCCTCCACTCAGCCCAGAAAAGCTGTTTAATCAGTAATTACGTTTCCTTTTATGACCCCACTCTCTGCTCCATTTTTGGGCATGTTAGAGATTACTCTGCCTAACCCAGTGGTTTTATTGATAAGGAAACTGAGGCGGAGAGGGAGTGACCTGTACAAAGGCACAAAGGTAGTGAAGTCGGTAAAGCAGCAAAGCCAGGCCAAGAGCCACGCCCTCCCACGCAGGTGAGAGTTTCAGGCGAGCTCCGGTGGAGGAGGGGGCGGGAGCTCCATCCACTCGGCTGGGCTACACACACCATCTCCCTCCACATAACCATCGCTCTGCAGGGCCACGGAGCCCGCGGGAGAGGACGCATGCGGTGCCTGCTTTTGCCTCTTCCTGCTCTCTCGTAGAAGTAAACACGTTGGCAGGTGTACATACAAAACCCCGCGCTGTGGACATACAAAAGCCAGATG